ATGAAAAGTTTCTGTATCATGAGTAGTTAGTAATTTTAAAAAAATTTCTGTTAGTGGCTGTTCTCTCCAGTAAAATGCTTTCTTAGAATATTCATACATAGAACAGCAGAAACAACTACAGTGAGTCACTCTAAGATATGAACAAGCATTTCTTGACACTGATGCAAGGTATTTGCCAGCCTCTAATGCAGAAGGGAAGCACTAAAAGTCATCTCTAAAGCTTTCAACAGATTTCAAACAGGGAAATAAACCTGTTCAGGGTTGGTTTTTCCTTATTCAACAGGTAGATTCTCTTCTTGGACTGACTGACCTGCTCCGAGATGTTGCTGGTAATTTTGGGCCCCTCATCACTGCCATGGCTTTAATCCTACCATATGTTACTGGTGGTAATGGGTGGAAGCATTGTTTCAATTTTAGCTGTCAAAATCTGATTTTTCTTTGTAGTTGTACGAACATTCATCCAGATCCACACATTCTCACATGTTTCTGTTGTAATCTAATCCACGCATTTACTTTCAAGAAAATGGAAAAAAAAAAAAAAAATCTACTCTACATTTTACAAAAGAAAAAGTTATAGCAAAACAAGTTATATTATTTTCATATAAATAGGTGCTAAGATTTTTCTAGAAGTCAGAGTAGATATTTTCAGTCACAAAATGTGGCTGTTTCCCTATTCTTCCCCTATGCTAAAGCATAAACTGTAGCCTAATATTGATCTGGATTAGAACTGGGCCTTTAACACTTTTATGCTAATTTTTCAGAAGCTCATATGAATGGTAGCTGAGATGTAAACAAAAAACTGTGGTGCCATGATACTCAAGATACTTCAGAACTTCAGGGTTCAGAACTACTCCAAATTAAAAATCTATCAATGATTTTCTCATAGCTTTAGCCTTGCACCGTGTCTTGAACAAAATACATGAGCAATGAGAAAAATTAACTATTTTATAAGACGACTTTACTCCAGAGAATGAGCTAAAACTGAAAAGAGCATCTCTGAAAATAAGAACCAACCTTGCATTTTCAGACAGGGCTCTCCCAAGGGTATCCTTGCTGCTCTGTGCCTTTAAAATACACCATATTCAGTCTCCTGCTTATATTTCCATACACACATGCATATATACATAAATGTATATGTGTGTATGCATTAATAGCATTTCCACTCTGGCAAAGGGATTTATATACAGCATCCAAGGGGGAAAAAATCAAAACAACACAGGCTTTTTAAAGGTGATTTATAAAAGGAAAAAACACTTAGATGTGATTTGGGACACAAAAAGACTGTTCTCCTTTCTTTCCCATTATGCTCAGAAAAATTCTGCTCAGTTTATAGCCTTATTTCTTGGTATAATTTTCCCTTCCTAAGCAGCCAACAAATGCCCATTCTGCAAATAAAATTCACATAGGATTACAATTTTTGTGGAACTGCAGAGCTACCAAGTCCACCGCAGCTCCAGATGCAGAGCCCAGCAGTCCCCCTACCCTAAATTCCATTGATGCATAACTTGGAGGCAAAATATACGTGATGTCTCCAAGAACTGCCTGTGTACAGGAATCTGTCTGACCTCAGTCATTGGTTACTCTGTTGGCTCAAACGAAAGTAACCCATCCTACAGTTTTGAAGGTCTGAAAAAAAACTGTATGTGACAGTATCAAAATGGCTTCAAAGGAAATATAAATTCTTACACTGACAAACTTTCAAAAGCTCAACTGCACAATTCTCTTCTAGTGAAACTTTTAGACAGAACTTCCAAACTAATAGCTTTCCAAGATTCTCATGCAAAGAGAAGGCTTGTCTTTTTATCTTTGCTGTATAAGCTCAGTGGCCATTTTTCTGTAAAATGGTGGTAAAACAGCTAATGTGTAGACCCTGGAAGAACAGTAAGACTTGTTTATCACTTTTTGTACTTATCAGCTAATTAAAACTAAACAGCATTTATGACATGAAATACTTGGTGAAGAAGTGTTTGGATTTGCTGCTGATTCATATTTTACCATTAGCTTTCATCCTAGTTACTAAAATTGAACCTTTTCTAAACAGGAGAACTCATTTCATCATACAGTTTCATACAACAAAGAAGCAAAAACCCTACACCCCCCACCCCCAAACAACCCAAAAACCTCAAAACACAAACTCAAATGATGGGTCTTAGTGGTGGTTGTAGCAGAAGAGTGGAAGATGCTGTTGACAGTTCTCTTCTCAAGACCCTTACCTTTCAAGAAAAAAAAAATAGCCTTATTTCAGACTTACTCAATCCTCCAAAAATGTCAAATTCACCACCAGACTCTGGTCTATCTATACAGCTAGGGGAGATGTCAGAATGGAGGAGTTACATAGACTAAGCTGGCCTGGATCCAGCCAGCCTAAGTTCTACCTTAATCCTTCTGCTTGTCCCTATTATTGGATGACTCTAGTTCTCTCTACAGAGAAAATTGGAATTATCCTKCTTCACCAGCAATGGGCAGTTTCTAGATGAAGGCTCTCAGTCTTGCTCAGCTGGTAAAGAAGTATTCAATATTCATCAGGCCAGAGAGAAAAAAAAAGTAAAGCAGTTAATGCTGCTGCTGTATAAAAATATGATTTTGAAAAAGTAAAAAAATACCTGTTGCTCTTATATCCAAAATTTTCTATTCTGCAGAATGTGAAATATGAACAGATACCACATCAACTACAYCACCTTATTGATCCAAATCAGCAACGCTGAACACAAAATTTGTCCTATCCAAAGTCATTTTTCAGGGAAAAGGCAATCTTGATGCTATTGGCTAGCTTGGTAAATCTCACTGTATCCTCAACAGCCAGGATGAAACTACATTGGAATTGAGATGAAATATCACCAAAGCTTTCCAGATGAACAGCTGCATAGAACTGCAAGGTAATTTTCATTCCTGTGCTCAAAACAGGTTCTTAAATCAAATTCTTTAATTAAGAGTACCTTAAATTAAGGTATTTGCTGCTTTCCAAGAAACTTTATTTTTATGGAATACTGTTTTTCACCTTGTTCTAGATATGCTACCTTTTCTGTTGTCTTTAGCCTGCACTAGAGAAGACCAGCAGCTGAGTTACATATATCTAAAAAAAGGCCAAGATAAGCCACATCAGCAGAATCAGTCTGAGATCTTAATAGTTTCACAGAGTGGAGACAGAGCTTAAGCATTTTGTTGCACTCCAAATTAATAAAAGATTTCTTAAATAAATGGTACTTTTATTATAGAATAATGTGCATTTTAATAAAGACCTTCAACAGCTTAAGTATTTAATTTACTTCTTGTATAAGACCACTAGGAATCAGAGGGACATACGCATATATATTTATGTAATAAATACATACAATTTTCTTTAGGAGGAAATATACACATAATTGTGTATATATATATATATGTATGGTAATAACATGGCAGCATGTGTGCAAATGAGTCAGTTATTAGGAAGTGAAGCAACATTTGTCTTTAATGTCTTTTTAAATGTCATTTAATGTCTTTAAGAGTTTAGATATCTATGAATCTTCCAAGTCCTGGTACATTTATTAACTTTGAATTAACTTCTGTAGACATGAGTTTTGATAACTGGAAGAAATGACTGACACTGACAAACCTGTGAAAAATATTTTTGTTCAAACTTATCCTTAAAACCTGTTTGGCTTTTCATGATCTGTATTTTTAAAGTAAGGATTTTCTCATGAAGAAATGAGATTTTTAACCGCCCGTTCACAGAGTTCCCATTGAAATAAAATCACACCTTTGAAGTAAACGGAATTTGTGAACATGAAGGATATTGTTTGCAATTATTTTAACATTATTTTAATTTGCTTTCTGATAGAATTTTGAATGCCCTGATGTTGGTTTTTCAGGTTGCATAAACAGTAATATTGGCAAATGATTCCTCCTCCCAGCAAAGGTGACAGGAGCACCTGCTTCCTTCTTTTATTTACTCATGTGTTTTGGAGTATGTCTTGATGCAATTCTGCTTTATGTGTGTGGGGTGCACACAGCTGRTATCTATAACTTCAGTTATAGGTAACACACAGTTGTACCCATAACATCATTAAAACCATGATAGTTTTGTCTTGCTGAAATTATTAGCAGAAGGAATATTTTACTTTCACTGCAGACATCTTAACAAGCAGTGTTTTTTCCTTTATTATTTTCCACACAACCCATTTTTAAATACCCTCAAGGGAAAAACAGCTATTGAAAGATATTTCATAATAATTAGTATCTTTCTAAGGCCAGACTACTATCCAAAGTGAAGAGGGCATACATAATTTATGTAACCTCGATGAAACAGACATACTTCAGATGTGAGAATATTTTCTGCTGCTTTTTAACGATTACTTTTTAAATAAAATATTTCAAAAGATCATTCCATAGCAAGAAAATTAGTTTTCATGCATATCATTTGGCAAATTGTACTTGTCTTATTCACATGCGTACATCTTAGTGGGCCTGATTTTGCCCTCATTTTATGTCAGGGTCATCCTGAGAGAAAAGAATTGTAACAAAAATCTCTTTTGATGAAGATTTAAATGAAAGCAGAATTTGTGCATTTTCTAGCAGAAGGCTTATCTCTGAGAAGAGTTATATTAATAACACATTAACTGCCCACACTATAATTTTAAATTGTCTTATTTTCCCATAATGGAGTCTCTGAGATTATAAAGGCTCTATACACTAACAAAAAGTGACATTAGTCCTGTATTTGCCATTATGCTGTGTATTGGTAACTAACTAATGTTAGTTAGCTAACCTTCAAGAAGGTGCTTCATTATACCAGAAGTCTCGGTTGTCACTATTAATAAAACATGCCTAACATCTAGAAAAGCTTTTGGCTCTACCAACTAAATATTCCTCAGAAGAGACTGATGTCTGCAGATTTACCCATTCACCCGACTGTTTCGTTTGGCCCCAGGCAGGTGGAGCTTTTTCCACTGTTGGCAATGTCAATGCACAGACAGTTGAAAACACATCACTTCAGGTTTCTTGCCACTCAGCAGTACTACCTCAGCTTGGTAGAGGACATCTCATGCTGGTCTAATTCCAGGAATAATTTCAGACATCTCAGCCATTCTTCTCAGGAAGATAGGTCACTATCCAAACACTGCTCTGAAACATAGAAATATTAAGAGCATTAGAAAAATTTTTGCTGTGAAGCTTACTAATTCTTTTAAATTTTAATCAAACTTTAAATGAAAAAACCTCCCTTCTTCCATTCACTATTCAATACACTGATGCAGATGTGTGCCCTCTACCAAGAAATGAAACACTAATTTTTTGGGTAGCATGACACACAAATACTTACACAATAATGTTTCAGGTATTTTGCTCTTTAAGATTGTTGTAATAAAAAATTCATTAGTATTAAAGTAAACGGGCAAATTGAATAGAAATTTGAAATACCTTAGTAAATGAAAACCTGTTTACCAAACTAACTGTAAGCATTTTTACTCAAAACAGATTTACTGTTTTAAGACATTACATGATGGGTATTTCTACTAGTGGAGTTTCATGCAATAAATATCTTTCAAGAAAATATTTGCTAATTAAAAATATCAGCTTAGAGCATGAGTAATTCATATGAGAATTTTGCAGGAGTGAGCAGCAT